GTGTGTGTGTGTGTGTGTGTGTGTGTGTGTGTGTGTGTGTGTGTGTGTGTGTGCTCGAATAGCTCAATAATGTCATGAGTACAATTTTAAGCACCTAGGTATGGAATTAGCGGGAAGTTACAGGGATGGCCTTTAGGGTCAACTGTTTTTCTAATTTTGTTTCTTAGTTCTTTTGAGATTTCTCGAAATCTATCGGTCCGAATCGGTTCAAATTCACAGGAAATCTAAGTTTGAGGGAAATCTTTGAAACGCCGTTTGGCAGGTTCCGATTGGTTTAGTTGTTCAAAAGTTATAAGCGGTTCACGTACTTACAAACACACACACACTCACACTAACACCCCACACACACACACACACACACACACACACACACACACACACACACACACAATCTCTATATGTATACATGCAGACTTAGTGACAACATCGCGGGGGTAGTAAGGGAAGTTTCCTGTGACCTTAAAACCTCGAGATCTGATGAAAACTCGATTTTTGCAAAACAGCGTAAAACCAATAACTTCCCAATTTTTTTAACGGGAAGTTAAAAATTTGAGCAAAGTCGAAAAAAGTTGGGTGCATTACAGCTGATTTTGCGTACGTTGTACGTACAATGCACCGTGTAAATATTAATTTACTCATACTATTTATTTCACCTGAAAAATACTACGCAATTCGAGCAAATTATTAGCTATTTAAAACTTTCAAACCACATAAAAAATTAATATTTTTACAGGTTACTCACAAAGTGACAGGACAAGTCATGGTTCTCAAAATGAATCAACTACCAGCGAATAGGCCAAATATGTTGAAAGAAGTTCAATTGATGAACAAACTCAATCATCCTAATATACTCAGGTATTCGATTAGTTTTATAGAACATTTGAAATGTAAAGATTTTATAAACCGATAAATACTTTTCCATCCAATATTCATGCGTCTATAATTTATTCATGCCCGTTAACATTTTTTTTGAGACAAAATAAATATATTTGTATTAAGGTACCTCCGTGAAACGACTTTTTGACAGATTTTGTGAATTTTTTTACACGATTTAAGGTTATCGTTTACTAATAAATCTCGAAGTTTCAAAATATTTAACCATTTGAAATGCAAGATAATTTAATAAAAAAAAGTCCGCGATTTTCAGGTTTACTTCTTGGTTCAAGCATGTAAAACTCTCTGACTACCCAAATATTGTCTGTTATATTTAAAAAAATCCGTCGGCAGGATTGAAAAAAAAAATTAGCAGAATAAAAGAATATATTTTTTTGATAAATTAATTTTAAAAACACTAGCACTTTATGGTTTTGTTGTCGAGATATAATAACTAAAAAAATTAGGAAAACGGTTGACCCTAAAAGCCATCCCTGCAACTTCCGTTAATACCTGGCCGCTTTTTTTGAGCTCTTCGAGCTTAAAAATACAATCTGTGTATTGTTTTGAGCTTTTCGAGCTCAAAAGGTACCTTTTATATGCTTTTGAGCTCTTTGAGTCTGATAGAAGTTTCATAGAACACTATTTTTTGAATTTTCAAACCGCAATAACTTTTGAATGAATGATCCGATTTTGACGCGGTTGGCGGCATTCTACGCAGTTTATTAAGCCTTATAAAGAATTCTTAAGTTTGGATTGGTCAAACTAGAAATTTCGGAGTAACTCCAAAAAAACACTTTTTTCGGTTTTCTTTCGTTCACGATATTTCTCGAACGAATCAACCGATTTTGACCGAATTAGCGGCGATCGGCGTGGTTTTTCAAGCTTAAGGGCGGATTAGTTTTTGAAGTTGATCGGTAGAGCCGTTCAATAATTATCCCAAAAAAACCACTTCTGAACACATTTTTAACTTTCCGCTAAGAAAATCGAAGATTTTCAAAAATCGAGAAGTTATTGTTTTCACCCCGTTTTGCAAAAATCGAGTTTTCATCAGATCTCGACGTTTGAAGGTCACAGGAAGCTTCCTTGACTATCCTCGCGAGGTTGTCACTGTGTGTGTGTGTGTGGGTGTTTCCTTTTGGCATGGGGGGGGGGAATCCTTTTTAC